TATATATATACACATACATACATACATACAATTATATAGGACAAATGTGCAAAAAAAAGTTGCAAATGGGTACATTACAAATATTTACGATGACAAAATGTAGCAAAAAAATTATAGTACAGTAAATATCTATTCATAATGAAATGTTACACACAAAATATCACACTTTATAAGCATATACTGATATGGTAGAGCATATGTCAAGCACAACAGAGCATGTATTAAGGTGAGAAAGATGTTTTGGAATGAGAACTGGACAAAAAGGAAAAACACAAAATATTGAAATGTAATGATAGAAAATAAAACAAACAAGCAAAAAACCTAAACACTTGATGGCAATTGATCATGAAATGAGAAGCAAGGGTAACATTTCCGTTCCTGAGGCCAAAAATGAAAAAAACCCGACCAATAGCAATAACAGCAATAATAACAACAGCAAACAAGGAAGTGACACCTCACATATGCACAATACATCACTTTTATTCCAGTTAAGTCTTTTAAATAATGCAAAAAGGAAGTATTTAAGCACTTCCTACCACTGTAGAAATGGGGTATATTGATAGTTCTGTTTTATAGAGACAATATTTTAATCCACATCCCTGAGTGGTAAAAATGGACAGTGAACAAAGAGTAAAATACAAGAATGAATGAAATAGATAAGTACAGACATGCATATACACTATATGAGTAAAAACTTGGTCACTGGTGAATACAGATTGTCTTGGACAATTAACAGACAACCTCTAGATATTTTGTTAAGCTTTCAAATGCTTCAGGGACAATCAAAAATTGCATGGCATTTCCTCAGGGAGAATCTCCAAGGGTGAAAAAAAAATCTTTAAATTCTTCTCACCATGCCATGTTTAGAAGCACATGGGGGAGTCGAGACAGAGGCTTCACTACAGGTGAAAAGAGAGCCTGTTTCCATATTTTATCAATATCCAGAATGTTTCAGTGACACTTGCAGGGTCCCACCATTATTCAATGGCAAGGTCATTGCAAAGTATTGGGATTTCTGATTCAGTTCTGCGTGCATTCTACTTTTCAGTAGTGCCTGAGGCTAGGATCTCTCTCCCTTTTTCCTCCATATTATTTTTTTTTTCAAATATTCTGTCTTTGTTTCGGAGGCGAAATGCTCATAATCATCTTTGAAACATTATCAATATATGGCTAAATAATATTTTTACTTTGTATAAATAATTATATGAATTAAAAAAAAAAAAAAGTTGTCCTGGAGTCAATTTTGCCTCATAGCCACCCCATGTGTGTCAGAGAACTGTGCTCTGTAGATTTTTTAATGGCTGTGACCTTTCAGAAGCCTATCTTTCTGTCTTCCAAGGAGGGTCTGAGTGGACTCAACCGCCCAACATTTCAGTTTGTAGCTGACTGCTTAACTATTTGCACCACCCAGGTGGCCTAATTATGTGAATAATAGAGCTCAAATATGAAAGTAAAGGAAGCATATACACTATTAAAAAACACTGTAGTAGAACTAGGAAGCTGCAGTTAGTCAGTCTCCAATGTTGATGTCCTTCAAATTTCTTAGTTATTTACTGGCTCTAGGCTCTTATGCCCCTCTCAAACGTAATTGAATATTTAATGTATATTTAAGTAACTGTATAAATGTGCATTTTTGCTAATCTCTTGAGGAAATAAATAAATTTTCATCTAACAACTCATGTTGAGATGTGAAAAGCAATTTTTGGAGTTTAGGAAAACTTTTAAGTACCCAGTTTTATGATGATAGTATAATATATATCATATTCTTCAATTTGCAGTGGAATCTGGTAGAAAGATGATACAATTTTCTTAAAGAATATAGCTTTATAAAATGAGAATTAGATACTCAACAAAGATAGTAAACTATGGAAAATGATTTGGTGCTCTCCATAGAACTCCAAAGCGATTGAGAGGAAGTCCTTTTATCTTCCCTTACCTTTCAGGAAAATCAGTACTTACTAATAAAAGTATTTTTTCCTTCACCCTTTCCTCATTGCAAGTAAACAATACATATACTGTTTTACTGCATTCATTGAAGATGGTTGATTTCCTAACTGTGATGTCTACTGATACCAAATTCATCACTTCTGCTAAAAAAACGAAAAATAAAATTGTGTTTTAGGTGAAAGTTTACATAGCAAACTAATTTTCCAATCAAAGATTCTTACATGAAATGTGTCAGCACTCTCCTCATTTCCTCCCTGGCTTCCCTGTTTCCAGTAGTCAGGTTGCCCTGTCCCTCCCCACCTTCTTTCCCTTTTGGTCTCCTATAGTTGATTTTTCTAAGGGGCACATTCTTCACAGATGTTACTGTTTAATTTGATAGCCCCATCCATTATTGGGCTGAAAGGTGGCCTCTGGGAGCGTCTGTAGTTTCACGTTAGAAGATTGTCTTAGGTAATAGTCTCAGGGCTTTCTCCAGTCTCTTTCAAACCAGTAAATCTGTTTTGTTTTGTTTTTTAATTTGAATTTTGTTCTACATTTTTTATCCATTCTGCCCCAGAACTTCTATTGTGACCCTGGTCAAAGTGGTCTGTATTGGTAGCCAGGCATCATCTAGTTCTTCCGGTCTCACATTAGAGGAGGCTGTAGTTCACGTGGCCCATGAGTCCTTTGGACTAATTCTTTCCTTAAGTCTTTGGTTTTCTTCATTCTTGTTTGCTCTAGGTGGGAAGAGACCAATAGTTGCTTTTCTGACCTAAGCATTGTGTGTGTGTATAGGGTCACAACCTTATAAGCAATGTTTTATGTGAGATAGTGTATTTCCCCGTGACCATTTTGTTATTTAATATGATGCTATTGTATTTTTCTATTTGCTTGATTATTCCTGACTCAGAAGATGCTGGTGCTGCTATTTTTGTAAGTATTATCATTTCAAACCATTAATTCTCTTCCCTTAAACTGCCATCCTCATCCTTCTCTGGCTTTTTGTTTTTTAATCTATGGTTTATTAGGGATATGTATATACATTTTAATTTAAGTATACTTATGTTTATATGCATTATGTACTATATAATAGTTTAGAGGAGTTCTTTATCCATATGGATTTTTGTTTTTTAATGAAACGTCATTTTATAAAATCACTGACAGTGACCTCACTTTCTTCCAGTTTGCGGAAATTTCCTCTCACTATCTTAGGTTCTTCCATGAGAAAATATATCTGATTTATTACAAATGACTTAGAGTACGTTAGTTATAATGAAAATACTCCTAGGTTAGGACATATTTTAAGTAAATTAGTATTAAAACACTCTGCCGTCAAGTCGATCCTCACTCAGTAGTGACCCCATAGGGTTTCCCAGGCTGTATATCTCTATGGAAGCAGATTGCCACATCTTTCTCCCACGGAGCCACTGGTGGTTTTGAAGCAGGGTACTTTAGGTTAGCAGTCTATCAACTTACATTAAAATGTTTTAAGTAAAGTAGAAGATCTATAAACCAGAAGACTGGCACACCAATGGTCCAACTGTAGTTATGGAGTTGTGGATGACGGAGGGAAGGGCTGGGTCGGTTACATGAATAACACACTATTCAACCTACTCATCATCATTACCGTGACATGGATGCTAAGTCACACTAAAAGAATTTACATATGCATATGTAAAGAAAATTCCTTTCAAGTAACGTACCGTCGTCATTTTAAAAACAACAAAAACACAATATACTTGATATTTGAGGGTTATGTCCCTATACCTTAAACACATTGAAACATTTAATCCTCATGTATTTTTTCAACAACTCTGAAAGGGAGTGGTGATTTCAGGTGTGGATAAAGAGACTAAGGTATCTTATTCTATAACCCACAAGTGAAGGTATAACAGAGACTATATCTGCATGGGTTCACCACCTGGGATATTTCCCTGTATAAAGACAAATAATCCCCACCACGATCTATTCAATTTTCCTTGTTAATACATGTGTTCAATATCGGTCAAGTATGTTGTTTCAGTCTATACCACCTGTGGCACAAGGGCTTTTTTTGGACTATGTGTTGATGTAAGGCATATTAAGTGTTTCCACACACTCTCGGAATTTCTAGTTTAAAATTTTTATAATGTAATTAACATATGTATTATAATTTTATAAATGTCATTGTGGTATTGTTGTTATGTAAATGACAAACAGAAAGATTAATAACCATCCATAGACCTAACACCTTAAAAGTTTAACTTTTCAAAATTTTTGCTTAATGTATCTGTATGTATTAAAAAAAAGCAAACCAAATCCATTGCCACCGAGTTGATTCCAACTCATAGAGACTCTACAAGACAGAGTAGAACTTCACCATGGGGTTTCCAAGGAGCTGCTCATAGATTCGAAAAGTCTATGTTTTGGTTATCGGCCAAGCTCTTAACCACTGCTCCATCAGGGAGCTCATTGGTGTATATGTATATGAGCATGTGCATGTGGATGTGCATTTGCACGTACATATACATCTACATGCACAATATGCCTACAAGTACATGTACATATACACATACACATACATGTACACCTACACCCACATCTTTATCTGTATCTACATCTACATCTATATCTATAGCTGTATCTATATCTATATCAGGGTTTCTCAATGTCCACCCTAGTGACAGTTTGGACTGGAAATTTTGTTATTGTGGGGAGTTACCCTGTATATAATAGAATGTTTAGTAACATCCCAGGCTTCCATTACGTACAAGTAGTATCCTTCTCCTAGTTGTGACATCCAAAATGACTTTATCAAATGTTCTTTGGGAAGCCAGTTTTCCCCAACTGATAACAAGTTAGCTTTCTCTCTCTCTCCACCTTTCCCTCTGTCCCTTTTATCTCTATCTTTACCTATCTATGCTTTATTTGTGGGCGGTGGGATTACTTTCAAATACCTGTATAGGAAAGTTTAGATTTATCTTATTTGTTTAGCATATTGCCTTTGTATACGAAAAATCTACCAGATAATACTACATAAAACCTTTTGACTGTGCTGATATCTCTATCCAGAATAGGTTTCCTGATAGACCAAGATGGAAAAACATAATCTAACAATGCTAGATGAATTCATTCTGATGGGAATCACAGATCACTCTGAGCTGCAAGTTCCATTGTTTGCACTGTTGCTCATCATCTACATGATCTCAGTGGTGGGCAACTTGGGCATGATCATCCTCACCAAGACAGACTCCAAGCTACAAACACCCATGTACTTTTTTCTCAGACACCTGGCTGTCACCGATCTTGGTTACTCAACAACTGTGGGACCCAAAATGTTAGTAAATTTTGTTGTGGATGAGAATACAATCTCCTATTATTTTTGTGCTACACAGCTAGATTTCTTTCTCATATTCATCATTTTAATTCTGTCAGCAATGTCATATGACCGCTATGTGGCCATCTGTAACCCTCTGCTCTACACAGTCATTATGTCACAAAGAGTGTGTTGGGTGCTGGTGGTAATCCCCTATCTCTACAGCATGTTTGTTTCTCTTCTGGTCACCATAACGATTTTTAATTTATCCTTCTGTGGCTGCAATGTCATCAGGCATTTCTACCGTGACTGTCTCCCCTTATTATCTTTGTTCTGCTCAGACACAAATGAAATTGAATTGATCATTCTGATCTCAGCAGCTTTTGATTTGATTTCATCTCTTCTAATAGTTATTTTTTCTTACCTATTCATTTTTATAACTATTCTTAGGATGAAGTCAGCTGAGGGCAGGCACAAGGCTCTGTCCACCTGTGGATCCCACCTGACGGTGGTGGTAGTGTTCTATGGGACTTTAATCTTTATGTATGTGCAGCCCAAGTCCAGTCATTCCTTTCACACTGATAAAGTGGCTTCCATATTTTACACCCTGGTTATTCCTATGCTGAATCCCTTGATTTATAGTTTGAGGAACAAAGATGTAAAATACGGCCTACATAAGACATGGAAAAAAATAAGCAATATCTTTTCTACAGTTTGACGTATCATATGGTTCCTATAAATTACATCATGGGCTTCAAAGTTTGTCTATGTGCCTCCATAGGGTATAGTGAGCACAAATATATTCCACATATATTTATAAATTTCCTTCTGTGTGTCAGTCACTCTTCTAAATGCATGGATGAACAAAAGAGTAAAATCCTTTGCCTTCTTAGAAGGAAAGAAATGGATCACAAACATAATAATTAAGTAAATTTCATAGTAAGGAAGAATGTATTGGGTCCTGGTTGTGCAGTGATTAAAGTGCTTGACTGCTAACTGAAAGGTCAGTGGTTCAAACCTACCAGCCACTCTGTGGGAGAAAGATGTGGCAGTTGGCTTTTGCAAAGATTTACAGCCTTGGAAACCCTTTTTTGGCAATTCTACTCTGTCCTATTGGGTCACTAGGAATCAGAATCTGCTCAAAAGCAGTGCATTTCATTTTTCTGAGAATGTGCTATAAAACAAATCCCTTTGCCATTGACTCAATTCTCACAGCAATCCTACAGGATAGAGTAGAACTGCTCTGTAGGGTTACCAAGGAGAGGCTGGCAGATTTGAACTACTGACCTTTATATTAGCAACCAGTCTCTTACCCAATGCACCACCAGGGTTCCAGGAGAATGTGTTTGGAACCATGAAATCTGGTAAGGAGAGTGGGTATGCTGAGTGAGAGCGGGAAAAAGTATTAGGTACAAAGGTGGAGTTACAATGATTCTGGTGTCTTTTTGAACTATTAGAATAAACGTTGCACTGTTAGTACTTGTATTTATATATGTGTGCGTTTGTGTAAGCCCTTGCTTTCTGTTTTAGCCTTCATAGTTCCTGAGGAGGAGATTAGATTCAGGCCAGGTTGCAAGGAGTCTCAGTGTAGTGTGATGATTTCAAGTACTCAGTTATCTAAATTTGCTCAAATGACCCTATTCCAAACCTTAGAGTTCCATTCTTTTCTTATTAATGCCTTTACTTTCACATATAAATCTGTTAATTCAACATACCTTGCAATTGAGCAACTCAGAGTTTCAGCTCTGCATCTAACTTTGTTTTAATGAACCTGATTGGCCTAGATTAGAATATACACCAATTAAGATAAATTTCTTAAGGTCATCCATAGTTGCTCCCAGGTTTGGAATCCCTTCCCCACTTGTCGTTCCTATTTAATAATTATCTCTTTCGTTTCTTGGGTTGTTATCTTTTCTTATCTGTATGAAACACTTTTTAAAATATTTGTTCAAGTGTTTTTTGTGTATTTCCTTGGGTAACAGGATAGTCTATGATGAGTTAAGTTTGCTGCCTCTCTTTCACTGTTTTGGCTTTCCTAATATTTGGTCAATATTAATTATGCACTATATTTTCATTGACTTTTGTTCACCCTACTTGTAAGAGGCAAAATGAAATAATCCCATGGTTTGCACCATGATGTATTTCTAATTCAAGTCAGGTCTGTTAGATTTCAAGGTTACAGTCATCTCGCCTTATGGACATAGTTGCTCCATGTTACTCCTCAAATTTTTCCATGTATTTTTGTTCATTATTATTTTTCTTTTTAAAATTTCTAGAAATTTCTTAAAGCCACTAGAGTCTAAGTTATTTTCTTGGCTCACAATCAAGAAATAAAACCCCCAGGGTAGCTAATGAAATGTGAATAAAAATAGTTCATTGGAATATAAGAAAAAGGTGCATGTTATTTTGGAATATAAGAAAAAGGTGCATGTTATATCTTCATGTGAGCATAAATATTTTTAAAAGGTTGAAACAGTTAGAAGGTGAAGAAGATCATGATAAGACAAAGTTCTCCAGGCTAGGGAAAATTCCACTGCCTGGAGCAGCTTGCTTGGCACTCCCCATAGCTTTACATTAGAATCCTGGTTCCTTTGCTTGCTATGGCTGGTAGCTTTACATTAAAATTCTGGTTCTCCTCTCCTTAACTGCTGCCCAAAACTAGAGAAAATTGGCAGAAACTGGTTTAGGCACCATGTTGACATTCAGGACAACCTTTTAGACTTCATAAATAGTAAATTCCCAGACTCTGGGTGGAGTTTAACTGTCATATTCTGAACACACAATGCATGCAGTTGCATATAAACCACATTGTGTCTGCATAGTATGATTAATAATGTTTTGACGTAACTTGTTTGAACTTGGTACTTGTAAACCCCTTAAAAGTAACCTTTCCCCTTGCCCTTGCTGAGCTGTCTTGACAACAGCCCCGCCTGTTTCCTTCACTTGCACAGCAAAATTAAGGTGCCTTTTTACACTCCCACCTCAGTCTCTGGTTTATTGGCTGAGACAAATCATGCCGAGCAGAACCTGGGGTTTCCACCCAGCAACAATGAGCACATCCAGGTAATAATATCTCATGATTATTGAATGGCATATCATAGTCATTCTTCAGGATTTAATTAATTTAATCATCACAGCAGCTCTGTAAGGTAGGTTCTATTAATATTTATGTATTTTAGATGATAAAATGGAGGTTCAGAGAAGGTAAATAAATTACTCAAGTTCAACTCATGAAGGATAAATAAATAGTCCAAGTTCATAGTGGTCTTAAGCATTAGAACCAAGTTTCAAACATGGTCTAGCTCCAGGTTCCAGGTTCATAACAGCTACTCTAAATTTCTTCTTAATGTCAATTTTCTGCTTTATGATGCCATCTCTGAGATGACGGAGAGTATCAGATTAAAAGGAGAGAAATAGCAGTGGGGTTCATAAAATAGTGAATACCTAGGACAATGTCTGAGAGAGAAAATAAATTCAATAAGGATAATGAAGTAATAAGTTGACACAGCAAGCTAATTGGTTCATCTGGATGCAGAATTTGCTCAAACTAAGTAATGGAAAACCATCACAAAGTGGATGCAGGACATAGTATGGGCAGGTTTATAATAAATGTACAGTGGGCAATATCAGGAATTATTATTAAGTCGTATGGAACAGGAGCCCTGGGTACAGAGTGGTTAGAGCTCAGCTGCTAACCAAAAGGTCTGCAGTTTGAATCCACCTAGCATCTCTTTGGAAACTCTAGGGGTCAATTCCAGTCTGTCCTATAGGGTTGTTATGAGTCCAAATTGACTGGACAGCAAGAGTTTTTTTGTTTGTTTGTTTTGTTTTGTTTAGTAATGAAGATGTTAAAAACAAATAAGTAAGTTCCCTTTTGAAGAAATGATTTTTGGACTTCTGCCTTCAGAAGTTCAGCCATCTTTTAAAAATAAAGATAGGATTGATGTTACTTCCTTAAAAAGGGAGGTCTGTGGGGAGAAGATTTATTCCCACTATATTCTGCTTTCTGGAGTTTGGTTCCGTGTGAGTTTCAATATTGGGGAAATGAAGGGATTGGCAGATATATTAACTTTGATTTTGTTGAGCTACTGAACCAATAAGAGCCATCAGGCCCATTACTGGACTTTTCTTTTTTAAAATAAATTAAAACCTCTTTGTTGAGCTAATGTTTGAGTGATCCATTTACTTATTGAGTGTTTCATTATCTGATTGGGAAAAGCATTCCTAGATGATACAGTGGGGAGAGGCAGAAGCACCACATGCAATTCTGAAGGTTGGACACCACAAAATTGCAGGTTGTGCCATTCATATAGACTAAGATGTGAAAGAACCATCTGAAAATGTGCATTATATTGGGTATTGTCATGATTAATGTAAACATCAATCAAAAGATTGTTGTTATCTGCCATTTAGTTGACTCCAACTTATGGTGACCTTATGAAAAACAGAACAAAACGTTGCCTGGTCCTGTGCTATCCTCACAATCATTGGTATGTTTGAGTCCATTGCTGCAGTCACTGTGTCATTCCATCTCGTGGAGGGCTTCCCGCATTCTTGTTGGTCCACTACTTCACCAAATATGATGGCCTACTCCAGAAACTGGTCTTTCCTGATGACATGTCCAAAGCTAGAATGTTGGACAATGTTCTTTTGGAGACAACAAAATACCTACCATCAAAGAATTTTTGTTTTGTTAGGGGCCATCAAGTGGATTGGCATTCATAGTGCCCTATAGGACAGAGTAGAAATGTCCCATAGGGTTGCCTAAGCAGTAATCTTTATGGGTGCAGATGGCCAGGATTTTTCTCCCCAGAATGGCTTGAGGGTTCAAACTGCCATACTTTCATTTAGTAGTGAGCATTTAAACATTGAAATAAATATATATATGTATATATATATATACACACACACATACTATTATATATCACAGATAAGCAAAAAAAAGTCACAAATGGATACATTACAAATATTTAAAATGACAAAATGCACCAAAAAGATTTATCGCATAATAAATTTATATCCAGAATAAAACATAACACACAAAATATCACACTTTACAAGGTGTGACCGTTAAGAATGTGTGTCAACTTGACTGGGCCATGATTCTCAGTGGTTTGGCAGTCCTGCGATGTTGTGATCACTTCCATGATGAGATTTGATATAATGTGGTCACCTCCATGACATGATCTGCTGTGAGTAGCCAATCTGTTGAATATAAGTAGACATTCTAGCAAGGTTTGTTGGCTTTTGCTTGCTCTGGATCCTGCAGCTGGCTCCTGTTCGTCTGACCTCAGGTTCTTGGGAATTGAACCAACATCTTGCCTGCGGTCTTGCCTGCCAATCTTGAGATTCTTCAATCTTTCCAGACTGTGAGCAAGAGCCCTGCTCTCTGACCTGTAGATGTTGGGTTAGCCAGCTCCTGCAGCTACATGAATCAGGAGAAGCCTCTATCCTGACCCATGGACTTGGGACAGTCCAGCCTCTACAGCCATGTGAGCCATTTCCTTGATATAAATCTCTCTATATGTTTATACCTTTTACTGGTTTTGCTTCTCTAGAGAACCCAGCCTAAGACACAATGGTATACTGTTATGGTAGAACATATGTCAAGCACAGCTGAATACGTATGAAGGTGAGAAAGATGTTTTGGAATGAGGATTGAACAGAATGGAAAAATATGAAATACTGAAATATAATAAAGGAAAATCAAACAAACAAGCAAAAAACCTAAACAGGCAGATGATGGCAACTGACCGTGAAATGAG